CGGCGGCTGCCCCAGCAGGAGGCTGCAGGAGGCCTGGGAGGTGCAGGGGAGCCGGAGCAGGAGGCTGCAGGAGGCCTGGGAGGTGCAGGGGAGCCGGAGCAGGAGGCTGCAGGAGGCCTGGGAGGTGCAGGGGAGCCGGAGCAGGAGGCTGCAGGAGGCCTGGGAGGTGCAGGGGAGCGACCGCTGCGCCTAAATGCCGGCGTTTACTGGGTGGACTCGCAGCGGAAGCGGTATGTCCCCGTGAAAGGAGACCATGTGATTGGCATAGTGACGGTTAAATCGGGAGATATATTTAAAGTCGATGTTGGAGGGAGCGAGCCAGCGTCTTTGTCTTACTTGGCATTTGGAGGTGCAACTAAAAGAAACAGACTAAATGTGCAGGTTGAGATCTCATTTATGGACCATTTGTGGTTGCTAATAAAGATATGGAACCAGAGATGGTTTGTATTGACAGCTGTGGACGAGCCAACCGAATGGGTGTGATTGGACAGGATGGACTACTTTTTAAAGTGACTTTGGGCTTAATTAGAAAGCTGCTAGCTCCAGGCTGTGAAATCCTACAGCAAGTGGAAAACTCTACCCACCGGAAATAGTGTTTGGAATGAATGGAAGAATATGGGTGAAGGCAAAAACCATTCAGCAGACCTTAGTTTTGGCAAACATTTTAGAAGCTTGTGAACATCTGACAGCAGATCAAAGAAAACAAATCTTCTGCAGGTTGGCAGAAAGTTGATCTCTGTGGATTTTTTTATAGTTGGGCCAAGAGACTGGATTCCCTGGGGAAAAATTTTTCAGTGGACCTCTCCCCATTAATCTCCAGAAGATAAGATATTGTCTTATATGAGTCTTAAAATATTTTTATAAACAAGTCACTGGTTGCCACTCATGTTCTTGTGGGTGAAAAAAATCATAAAATAGTACTATTTTTTTCTTTTATAATAAAGTTTACTAAAAGTTAGTATTATGATTTACTTGGTGTTAATTTCCTTAGTTTTGCTGGAATTAAGCATTGAAATAACACTTATTTTCTGATAACAGTAAAACATATTCATCAAAGAAAATGTAGAATACATAAAAAGTATGAAGCAGCAAACAAAAATCACTCGTAATCCTATTATGTAGTGTTGAGTATGTAACAGCTAACAATTATCATATGTTTACAAATCAAGTATTGTTCCAAGTGCTATGTTCAGATTGACTCATTTATTCTTAGTACCTGCAAAAGACAACTTCCTAGTGCAGGAAACTGAGGCTTAACTTGGCCAACATTCTCAACCACTACATGTGAATATATGTTTTTCAAAATGGAATTATAGAATTATATTTTATATACTAGTCTGTAATATACTTTGTCCACTTCAAACATTTAAATATATTTCTTTCATGATTGCTATTAAAAATTCAAATTCCATAGTTGTGCCATAAACGGTTTGGCTCAGTGTATAGAGCATCAGCCTGCAGACTCAAGTGTCCCAGGTTCGATTCCGGTCAAGGGCATGTACCTTGGTTGCAGGCACATCCCCAGTATATATATATAAAAACCTTCCTCTTATTAGAAACTGTGGACTGGCCAGTGTGGCTCCTCAATGGTTGAACATCAACTTAGGAACCAGGAGGTCATGGTTCAATTTCCAGTCAAAGCACATGACCAGGTTGTACACTTGATCCCAAGTAGGGAATGTGCAGGAGGCAGCTAACCAATTATCCTCACTCAACTTTGATATTTCTATCTTTCTCTCCTTCTTCCTCCCTCTCTGAAATCAATAAAAGTATATTTTTAAAAAAACACACAAAAACAAAACAAAAATATTTTAAAAGAGAATATTAATACATGTTAG